TCAGTAAGATGTTAACATAATGAGCATAGTCTCAGTAAAACGTTTAAATGATGAGCATAGTCTCAGTAAAACCTTCAGATTGATAGTCTTAGTAAATCTGTCGATTAAACTACATTGTCTTGGAAAGGGCCCCAAGAGTACCAATTATAATAAACTTGTTTTAAACCAATAGAATTATTTAATTCCAACTACTGAGACTCCACAACGACAAGACCAGACAATATTCCACTGTGTCCAGAATTCCATCCCTGGGACACGACAATATAGTCCATTTTTACAGCAGCAGATAGAAAAAGTTACTCTTAATATTTTTCTTTCTTGTATTGATTAATGTATTCGCCTTTTTCTTTTACATTATTCTTGTCCACACTTATTAAATATTGTGAATATCTAATGGATTAGGGTAATAATGATATATTTCCAGGATTCGTTTATTTCGTTTTATTATCGATTTATATATATATTTAAAATCCCCCAGAAAACAATGATACAGATCTATATATATTCATATAATATTGCATAATTTGCCGAGCAACTTCAACATCATATATTATTTCAATATGAGCCGTTGCGGTGGCCAATTATCTTAAATAGTTAAACAAATAGAATAGGTTAATAATAACAATAATAATAATTTAACTGTTCGCACATGTTAGTGCGCGTTGCGTTTACGCGCCTTCTGCTTCAGGACTTTACGACGAACTCTCCGTTGGAAACGTTTGGAACGCTTCGGTGGGTTGCTTTTAATTGGGTCCTTGTCACCGGGGGTGGACGCAGCGTGTCCTGTATGATCGACGACGACTGCTGGTGCTGGTAAGTGGTGCTTTGAGGATTCTTCGGGGATGATGGTGATGTCCACGATCTGTCCATCGGTTTTGTTTCGACCTCCGGACTGGAGTTCGTTATCGATACGGACGTGGTTTTCTTCTGCTGCTGCTGCGACTGCTGACTTTGTTGAGCGAGTTGTTGGACCAGTTGATCCTAAAACATGCAATGTAAATCCTTATAGAATTTCACCCTCTCCTGGATGGATAGACGAGGTGCGCCTCTTCGTCGAGATTTCTAGATTGAGGAGGACTGCTTACCAGGAGATCTGTGGTGCGGATATTCAGTTGCTTAAGGACTACCGTTAATTTTTGTGCATTGGTTTTGGCCGACGTCCAGACGCTCTGACCGATTGCATCCAAATGAACTCTCTACGAATTAAACGTTTCTGTGTGTGTTCTCTCTTACAAAATTTACTTTTTGAATATTATTTCTACGATTTATCTTAATTTTAAGCTTTAATATTTTCGTTTACTGTATGCGTTGCGTGGCTTAGTGGCTGTTGCTCTGATAGCCCAAGTGGCCGATTAATATCATGTGAATGCGGAAAGCGTCGCTTAAGATTAAGTGAGATGCGGCTGAGGCGTGCTCTGATTCTTGCCGCGGCTGCAACAAATCGCGACGGCAATTAGCATGCATTTTCTTTCATTCTATCTTCTTTGTTTTGATCTTAGGGGTAGAAACTAGTAACCAAAAGCAAAGCTCCTTTCAATCTATGTTCTCGTGAGAGTCTGAAAGCGCGCGCGCAAGAAGCTTCAGCGTGTATAAGCAGTTACCTTCAGGATGGTGTCCAGCAGTTGGAAGCAGGAATTCGCGATGCCGTGGACGAGACGGCTCACCCTCCTCGGAATCTTCCCAACTCCTTGCGCGGTAAAGTTCACCAGGTGCACAACGCGTCTTGCGGTTTCCCTCGTCAGCAGGACGATCAGTTGTTCCATGTTCTCGGGACGAGCCTGATTCTCGGGTTCGTCCTTGCTCAAGCTCATCCAAAGCTCACGACCTTTCTGCAGAGCCATCTTCGGATCCGTTGCGATCTTAAAAACAGAAGAACTTATTTTATTGAACTTTTCAAAAGACTTGATTTTTTTTTTAATTTACCAGTTCTGCAACGTAGACTAAAACGTGGATGGCTTCAGCGCTTTGGTCCTTCAGAGCTTTAGCTTCTAGTAGAGTGCGTTTAGTCAATCGTCTTTGCAGCTTCTTCGAGAATCTGTACATGTGCTGGCTTGTCTGGATGGCTTTTCCCGCCGGTCCTACCACAGGCTCGGAGGCGACATCCTCGTTGCCCTGACTATCAAAAACATCTGCAGGAAGATACTTCTCCACGTACTTATCGGCAATATCAAGAGCTCCATCGAGTTTATCAGCAGCGAATGCCGTGTACTTGCTGGCCAAGACGGAGTTACCGATCTGCTTGACGGAATCGGCGCGCTTCAGCACGGGCCTCACGATCTTCTCCCCAACATCGCTCACGTACTGCTTGGTGTTGGAATAAATCTAATTACGAAATAGTAATTAACTAACTTCGGCGCATTTCGTACAGTTTCTCATGATATTTATCAAATTAATTGACATAATTACTTTACACTAAACTGTTTTATTTAACTGTTCATTATAATACAATAAAGTAAAGTTTTCAAAGGATTAATTACAAAAATATAAGTTGGTTAATATATAGATTGCGAAAACTAGTAAATAAAATTAAATTTCGCCTTAATCCAATTCGAAACTGAATACAAAATAATCGTTTCGAAACACAAGTGTTTTCTATATTCCCATTATAATAACTATATAGATATCACACTATCAGTTGCAATAGTTAATGATTAATTAATCGATCCCAAATTACCTTTGATCTCTACATCTATTTTTAAGCATCAATGAAAATAAAGTTTGTTTAATCTCATATTGTAACCGAATAAAAATAATTCATTGTATCTCAATTCGAGTACGCGAGATATTTTTAAACGAAAATTCGCATTTGTAAATCTGCATCCTTGTTTTTAAATTCAAGTAGAAAATTACTATGCGATAAGAAAATGCGACTTTGGAACTTTTCGTTTAATTTTCTTTAAACAAAATTTGTTATTGCATGCGGCGATGAGGTGACTCAACGTATCAAAGTGCAGCAGACATCGTTCAAAAGAGAGTCAACCACCTCACGTTACAATGCAATTCCATTAAGTCAAGAAGTCATGTTTGAAGAAATAGGAAAAAAACACAACAGAAGTATTATGATGTTGATGAATGCGTTTAAGAATAATAAATACCATTTTTGGCGGTAAATGAATCGACGGCACCTTTTGCTCTACAATGTCCAGACTCTTGCAGATGATTTGATCGATCTTGGAGATTGGACCTTCGAAGAGGAAGACGGCTGGAGAAGCCGTATCGATGACATTGTAGATGGAATTCTCAGCTTGATCGAACGTCCAGCAGAACAAACTGTTCGAGTTCTGCAAAGGAATTTTAGTAACGAAATAACAATAAAAAAATAATAGTGATGTTGAAAGGCATACCTTGATTCGGTTGTAGACCGTCCCGGCGTAGAACCATCCGGATTCGACGATTGGGAAATTGTTGAACCTCTGGACGGCCTGCAATTTGGGAAGATGCAACTGCCTCGGCTTCGATTGATTATGCATCTCTGGAGCAAAAGTAGAAGAAAAGAAAAATATTTAATAAGAATAAAAATATTCATAAATATAGATTGAGGAAATGTCCGGATCGCTAATTAAGTTTTAATTGCGGCGCAAACTAGTTGACATTTGAACCGCGAAGTCTAGACGGACTGCAGATAAAATGTGTGAATGGGAGAGGACGTGGGAGGACATCGGTTCATTCGAAACGTCTCCAGGATTTACGCTTAAAACTTTATAAAACATTGCGCTGTTTGTTTGCACGCCACTCGATCGAAGCGCGAAAATCCGTTCATCCATCACCGATTAGATAACGATCTGATGAGGAGGATCCATTTTCCACGTTTTCCTACGATGATCTCATCCATAGATCCTCTTTCTGTTTGCTTTCATAGGTGTACGGGCATTTATTTATTATTATTCGCGCTTTGGAACTCTGATCCCGGATCGGATGATAAGAAAGAACGACGCCAGGATAAGAAGGCGTTTGTAATGCGAAAGCCGTGTAAAAAAAAATAATAGTCTAATCGAAAAACTTCTTCACGGCACGATTTTATTTACTTTTGTTTTGTATTTTCGCTGCAAAATTCATTGGAAACGAACGATTACTCAACATTTCCATTATATATATTTTTTTTGTTCAATCCGCACTTTGGCTAATCGTCGTACAGAAATAGAAAATGGAAAAATACGTTGCGCAACGAATAAAAACATTAGAAACATCGAAAATAAAGTGTAATTGCAACAATACATCACACAATTACGTCGATGTTCTTATCAATTATAAAACGGCATCGTCATCCTTATTTTCGCCTTCGATTCATTAGTTTTGTAACACTTTAACATTAAATTTAAAACTTATTTTCCTTGACCCAA